CATTGTCCCGGCATGAAAATATAGAACAAATTTTGTTTCAATTAACGGGTACAAATCAATTAATTTCAATCGATTTTGGATTATTTTTTTTCCGTAAAAATTGTTTGTTGTCTTGTCTAATGTATGTATCCATTGTGTGAATAAGATAGAATGTTGAAATCAGAAAGTTCTAACTCTCATTAACATGGAATCAAGCCAAAAATATCAGTAACATAAGGAAAGAAAATTAAGAAATCTACGAAATCAAAACGACTTATAGAAAATGACTTTTTCTTCTCATTATTAGTCAATAAACATCAAACCATTTGCACCGTCAGACTAAAAATCAGAATCAAGAAAATGGGTCCAAGTTTTCAAACTTTCTTGTTCAACTCATTGATCCCACCATACATTTAATTAATGAGACTATATTACCTCGAGTGATAATTGATCTTCATGATAACAAAAAACTTTATTTATTCACACATTTTTGTGAAACTTACAAGTACCATACACTTGTTAATTTTTCTTTTCAATCTATTTATAATTTAAATTGATTGTTGAATATAGTGCTCCAATCTTGAATTTCCCGGGCTCAGTCGACACCAAATCAACCACCACAAAGTTCAACCAAATCCAAATACCAATCCTCCCACGCCGGCTACTTCTACGGGTTGCCCACAAAGGGCAAGGTGGAGAATATGGTAGCCTCAATAGTCAGTCACAAAGGCTTTGAGAAAGGGAGAGGAGGAAGTATAGTCAAGCACAAAGCAAACAATCGGAAGCACAAAGCCAAAAGGAGGGATGCTGCCTTTTCTCTCCTCTCACGGCTACCACACTTTTCACATACTCCACAAATAATAACGGGCAACATATATAAGCCAAAGAGGTGGCTTTAGGTTAAGGTAATAGTAGAGGCCAAATAGGTAGGATAATAAGTGAGGAAATTACAGTCACACGGGTATTTAAGATTCAATTTTCATATTTCCATATTCAAGTTTGATATTTCACAAATCAGGTTTTAAGGAATTAAAAAAATTATTTTTTATTTATAATAACCAACCTGTTTTTTGCATGAAGATTGGAGAGAAAGAGTTTTAAATAAGTAAACTATATTTTCATTAACTGCCCGGAACCCCTAAACATCAAAACTCTTCCCATTCCTAAAAATCCCAAATTGATTCTTACCCAAATCATAACATTTATATTCAATAGGAGCAAAATAGTGTCAAGGTTTGTGAACGGGATTTTTGTAGAATGGCTATTACAAGGAACAAAAATCACGATCAAAAGTAGGTGAAGCATCAAAAGTGAACGTGAAAAAAGAAGAAGGCAAAAAGTCACAAAGGGAATTCATGCAGAAACCCCCCAAAACTCCGATTGACCTGCGAAAACCTAAATCGAAGGAGGTAAGTTAATTTTGTAGTCCTTTGAGATTATGGGTAATTCATTTTTTAAATTTATTGGGTGAGTATGACTAGCTAAATGTAAATTTGGTGGGAACGGGTATGTTTGCGACCTATTAATATGATCCTTGTGACCACTATGTTTTGTGACCGTTGTGGTGGATGTGTCCAATATGTATTGTGACCCAGTTGCATGGATATTAGAGTATTTCTTTTTTCAACTGGGTTGTATGAGTAATCAACAGAGATGATAAATCAGGCAATCTTTCATGGTGGGTTCTAAGCAATTACATTGAGTACTATTAATTTCGAAGTATAGAATGTGTATTGTGACCAACAATATGAACTATGTTGTAATTGTGATATATTTTTGTAATGGTTTTGTGATATCATAACGTGTTTCCTTTTCGATGAGTACGTGGACAGTGTGAATATAGTGTGACCAATTTGATTGAAAACAAGGTGTGTAATGTGAAGAGATTGTGTCCAATTTTGCATACTGTTAAGATTATGTCTTGTTTTGTCCTGTGCTTAGATAGTCATATGTAATTTCTGTTAGATGATTGTGTATACATGTACAAGGTATTCCTTAGATTTTCGTTCATACTTTATTTACCGTGATGCAGGATTGGAAATATATGATTCCATAAGATGCATGGTTTTCGGGTAAAATAACCACAACATGACCAAGAATGTTTTGTCAAATTTCACATCGAAATTCATGGATAAACAAAAGGGCCATTTTGGCGGACACATCGATGATGTTTGATGCTAGTTGAGCAAGGTTGGACATTGCTACATTACTCTTTAAATATAAGGAGATCAAGAAGCCGACAAAGCTGGTAAAGCCAAAGGGAGAGAGCATTGAAATAGAGTGATTGTACAATCCCAGTTTAGTGGCTAGTAGATGTGCGATGTTTATGAATATTTGGGAACATGATTTATGAATATTTTGATTCGTTTATGTTCATGAAATAGATTGGATTTGCGATTGCTAATGTGCATTTTGATTTTCTAATAGCTTCAATTTCTACTGTTGTTTGAATGCTCGGTACGAATTAGACTCTATTAGGTTACATGTCTTTTATTATCATGTAGATGCTATAAGGCATTTGTTAATCATAGGTCAATGTGCCTTTTGATTTTCTAATAGGTTCTATTCATCTCTAAGATTTCATGATTTGATCTTTGCAGTCAGTGAAGCCATTATTGGATGCAGTTCCATTCACAAATTTTAATGCGCGAGTTAGTGGTTCTCGGAAAGTATCTAATGCTCTTATGAATTCCAATGATTGCTCCTCAAGCAACAACGAAATTATGTTCTGAAGCAAATATGTCAGACATTGGAGTGTGAAGGTGGTTTGAAGAAATGCATTCAAAATGCTCTTTTGTTTCATCCGGGAAGTGGTAGCAGATCTACTATTATGTTACTTAATGCTATCAGAGTTTTAGGATTCCATCCGACATCTGATGCATAAGAATCAGGGCCCTAGGACTCTATTCATTATTGTGGAAATGGGAACAAATGCTCCTTGCATGTTGGGTTTGTATGTAACGATATCCAAAATTCAGCTCTAGGCAGTGTAGGTAAAACATTCAGAAGATCAGTTAATGAATCGAATAGTTGCACTGGCACAGAGCTCTATCGATGTTTGTTTTCCGATGTTATGTCAGAAAAATTTGCCCAACTATGCAGTCTACTGCTCGAAAGTGTTCAAGGATTGAAGGCTGACAAATTATTAGATTTAAGTCTAATAAACTCAAAGATGAAGGGTGCATATAAAAGTTCACCAGTGCTCTTCTATTCGGACATTCAACAGGTTTGTTCTGCACTTCCCTATAATGTCCTAATTGTTACTATCTTTAAATACTCTTGATTGACAACTTATATATGTTCATAGATGTATAGGCATTTTTGTTTCATCTTGCCCCATACTGGGATATTTAAGTCTGGGGAACAATTGATATGTATAACTTGCTGTGGGTAACGGCAATCTGTGTCAAGTTACCCAATTTGTGTCAAGGGGTCTATTTGGTTCTATGTGTGCATGTACGTGGCAATGTACTGTGCCAAAAACATTTATTTTGCTAGTGAAGTGTTTGAAATGATTTACTTTCAAAGATTACTGACTGCACTGAAACTTGTATTGTCTATAAACTTAGAGGAAAAGGTCGACCTAATGAAACATGGTAATGAAAAGTATAGCTCTTCCTGGTATAACTTTGAAGATGGCCCTTGATCAAGCCGAGGGGAATAGAAGGTTCAATTTAGTCTATTCCAAATAAGTGTAGGATAAAGCTTAGGCGATTCCAGTCAAGTTGAGAGTATTGTTGTTCACATAAAGGTGCACTTCTTCTGGTTATTGTGTTTCAATTTCTTGTGACCCATACATCTGAACATGATCAACTGTGGGGCCACAGGAGTATCCTGTATTTTCTGAAAACTTCAAGCTAGTTAGGCAGTGTAAATTAGGCTAAAAAGTCTTAGAGAAACTTGTGGATGTAGATGGCCTACACAAATATGGATGTGTCATCTTATAAGGAAAACAGAAGGTAACATTTTATAGGAGGGTAAACTTCTGAGTTTTTCTTTTCATATCTTGTCATTGACAAGGTCAAAGGTTAATTATATTAGAATTTTGGGTTTCTTGCTTCCCAACAAAAGGTTGGCACAGATATGACAACCCTTGCACAGTGTCTTTTAGATAAATCAATTATTTCTCTTCGTGTACAGGTAGATTAGACTTGCAGATTATGTCTATGGTGTCCTTCATTGATTTGTTTTATGCTTCTACCTTTTTGAGTATATCCTTAGGTGGGCAGTTCTGGACACAACATTCCTGAGGATTGTAGGCATGAGGTAACCTCTTATTTCCCTTCTCATGCTTTTTAATTTTTTTTGCCCATTTTGTTGGGGGTGGGACGTGGGGTGAGAAGGTATTGAATGAGCCGGGTTAAGATTGTTAATTATCCAAACTAAGTATTTATGGACCTGTTTTAAATATGTTGGGGCCTTATTTGTTGCATTGTGCAAATAAAAATGCAGGAAGGTCAGAAGTTTCACACCGACATCTCATGTATGCATCATATGATTTATATTGATACTAAATTACAAAATAATTAACGCATATGGAGAAGCTATTGCTATACATTGTTTTGACTATAAATTCTGTCTTTACTTTACATCCATTCTTATAATAATCAATTTGCCAAATCTAGTTGAATAATAAGAATTTCTCACCTTTGTGATTCGTTGTCTGGTGGGCAGCCGGATCTTACAAAGAGCTTAGATATGTTTCGATCTTGTGGGTCATTTTAGTCCTTAATTAGGTTCATACAAAGAGTTTAGATATGTTTGGATGCTTGTGGTTCATTTTAGTCCTTAATTATGTCATATTTTTAATGTTTATCCTGATTACCCTGTAGTGAACATATATGTGATCAGATAATGAAGGAAAGAAACATTATTTGTTATTGCATAACTATTTCTTGTAATACAGTTATGTCATCAAACAGTCTAGATTAAATGGTCTTGTAGATTATGAGCAATCTTGAATCGTTGTATTAATGAGTGAAGTTAATGTCCAGTGGTAAAGACTATTCACATAATCTGACATGCATGCTAAAGCGGAGCAAACAGAGGCCTGCTATATCTTTGAAGTCCGTACTTGCAAGTGTTGTGGAGAGAATCCAGATGGAAGAAATGGTCTAGTGTGCGATTTGTATGAGGAAATGTATCACGTCTCCTGTATCGAACCTGCTGTTAAAGAAATTTCCCTCAGAAGTTGGTATTGAACCCTGCTCAGCAAAGGGGATTATGACTGCATAGCTTGTCAGTATTAGATTTTGAAGAATAAAAATTCAAATGAAAAATTTGTGAAGAAGACTTAAACTTACATCTTCGTATTTCAATTGAATGAATTTATCGTAGATATGATCCTCTATATATACAGCAAAAATGATTGAAAATATTCTAACTAACCTACTATTATAAAACAGAAAAGAATAAATGTTAACAGCCTAACTAATCCCCTTCTAGATAGTTCTTCTGTTGGCGACAACAAAGGTTTGCCATCGCCCTATATTCTACTTCAGTGGAGGATCGAGACACTACCTGCTATTTCTTTGACTTCCACGAAATTAAAGCTGCACCAATGAAGACACAATAGCTTGTCACTGATCTCCTGGTGTCCAAGCATGCTCCTTAATCTGAATAGCAATATCCTTTCAGCTGAATCCTTGATTTTGCAGGATAAAATAGCCCCTATCCAGGTGCTATCTTGATGTACCGCAAGACTTTGTGAGCAACATGTAAATGTGATGTTCTTGGACTTCTCATATACTGGCTTAACGACTGCACTGAATATGCCAAATCTGAACTTGTGATAGTTAAATATAAATGTCTTCCTATCAACCTTCTGTAAAGAGATGGATCAGACAGTAACTCTCCCTCTTCTTTACTAAGTTTTATGTTCTGATCAAGGAAAATTCTAGCAGTTCCTGAGCCAATAGTCCCAGACTAAGACATCTGTAGCATATTTCCTCTGGCAAATGTAGATCCCCTGTTCAGATCTTGTTACTTCAATACCTAAAAAATATTTTAACTTCCCTAGGTCCTTGATTTTGAATCTGTTATTAAGAGTGATTTTAAGTTTATTCATGGTATCAATACAACTTCCAACTATTATAATATCATCCACATACACTAAATTAGTGAAGAAAAAATTACCACTTGATTTAGTAAAATGGCTATAATCTGCTCTTGACTGAGTGTATCTCTGCTCAACGAAAAAGTTTGAGAGTTTGGAATACCATTGGCTTGAAGCTTGCTTCAATCCATACAGACTCTTTCGTAGTTTGTAGACTTTATTGCCATTGACATTGGTGTATACAGGAGATAACTCCATGTAGACATCTTCATTCAAGTCACCATGGAGGAAGATATTGTTCACATCAAATTGGTATAAGCTCCATCCTTTAATTGATATCGTTGTGACTAAAGTTCTAATGGTGACGAGTTTAGCAACAGGAGAGAAAGTTCCATGGTAATCAAGTCCCTCATGTTGGGTATAGCCTTTTGCTACAAGGCGGGCTTTGAGTCTTTCAGCACTTCCATTGGCATTATACTTGACCTTGTACACCCACTTGCACCCTATGGCTTTTTTATGAGCAGATAAGTCAGCCAAAACCCAAGTATCATTAAGGTCCAAGGTTTCAATCTCTGTTTTCATAGCAGCGCACCATTCAGGAGAAGTTATGGTATGTTGATAGTTTTTTGGCTCAAGATGATTTGTTACTAAGGCTACAAAACTACGGTGAGATGTTGATAATTTGTCATAAGAAATGCTAGCACTAAGAGGGAAATCACCACCTGCAATATTTATTTCCTTCTTCTTGTTAAGATCCTGAAATGGAAGAGTTGAAGAGGCATGTTGACATATAGAATCTTGCAAATGAGGGGGTGTTTTTCTATTTCTGTTTGAACTGCAAGGTAGGTGAGTAACCTTGGAATCATTTGGGTCTAAGTCATTGGCAGATATGTTTGATTCATGATGATTGATAGGCTAATTTGGTTCCAAAATATCACTAGAAGATTGTTCCAAGCCATGGCTGATATTCATTTGTGAGTTAGGAGATTCAACATGCGATAGATTGTTGAAGTGTCACATCTTGAGTTAGTGTCAGAAGGGGAGATGACATGATTATTGGAAGTGTTGGGATTTTGTGTAAAACTTAAGTGACCAAGCCTGTCATATGAATATTATTATTGCAGTTGAGGTTTTTGAATGGGAAAATACTCTCATGAAAGGTAACATTTCTAAATATAAAGACCTTTTTGATTTTCAAATCCAGTAACCTATACCCCTTTGTTCCAAAAGGATACCCAATGAAAACACACCTCCTTGAACTGAGATCAAATTTATGTCTACCATGGGCAAGAATGATGGCAAAGGCTAGACATCCAAATACTCTTAGATGATTATAGTTAGGTTTGGTTTGAAACAATCAGTCATGTTAAACTCTCATCCATTATCTGTTCTAATGGTTTTGATTTTGGTTTCGAATTGAGTTTCAATCATGGTGCAGAAACTTTGCAAAGTAGTAGATGCATCAGATTTTAGTCTTAGCATATAAATCCATGTGCACCTACTAAAATCATCAGCAATAGATAGAAAATACTTAGAACCATCCCTGCTAAACTCATTACAAGGCCCCCATATGTCACAATGTATCAATTCAAAACATCTCTTTGCTTTATGGTGACTGATATGAAAAGGTAACCTATGTTGTTTTGCTAGGGGGTAGATGGAACAATCACTAACACTAGAGGATTCAAGTATGTTGATTTTCTATCAGGACAGAAATGAGAGTAGGAAGAATGACCTATTCTATAGTGCTATAAATCAAATTTCTCATGGTTATTGACAGAAAGAATAGAGTACGAAGTTAGACATTTGTATCGATTGAGAAATTCTGATAAAGCTGAAGGGGAGACTTGTGTTTGCAGCATATGATATAGGCCATCCTTTACCTCACCCATTCCAGTTATTCTCCAAGTCGAAAGGTCCTGAATATAGCAGCAGTTAGAGAAGAAAATGAGAACAATTTTGAGTTTGTGCAAGACTTTTTGCTGAGATTAAGTTAAAACTAAAAGTAGGAATGCAAAGAACGTTATGAAAAGCAATGGTGTCTGAGATTTTAATCGTCCCTACATGTGTGACAGGGACATTTTCTCCATTTGGTAAAGTTACAAAATAGCAGACATTAGCTTGAATAGATGTGAAAAATGAAGTAGAGCATATCATGTGATCTGTAGCTCTTGTATCAAGGATCTATGGGACATCACTAAAATCTTCATGTTTATGATGAAAGGCAGTCAAGCTTAAGTGTATACCAGACATTTTATGGGTGAAATCATCAGATGTAGAGTGACTAGCAGATGTTTGTTCTTTTTTTGACGAAGGGGTGGACTGTTGAGGATTTAATGTGGATATGAGGAGTGACATAAGTTGAGAATATTGTTCTTGGCTTAAGGATACTTGGCATTTGTCCTTTTCCCTTCATGCTGATTAGTTCGTGATCCCACAGAAACCATATTGACAGCAGATTTCCCTTTATCATTCAGCCTGTGCCCTAGTGGGAATCTATGGAGTTTATATCATTTATCCACTGTATGCCATAATATTTGGCAATAAGAACATAATGGCCTGTTTGGTTGGCTTTAAAACATTTGTCAAGTGAATGGCCCGTGATCTTGCAATGAGTGCAGTAGTATTTATCCTTCTTCTGTGATGTAAAGGTCTAGTTTCCTCATTTTCTTCGGTTTGAATTAGCAGAACTTGGGGTAGATATTTCTCGTCTTTTCTCCTGTTGCTGGACCAAGGAGTATACCTCATTTAGAGTAGGGAATGGCTTAATCAACAGGATCTGAGCATTGATTTCCTTGTAGGATTTGTTCAACCCCATTAAGAATTGCATGACCCAATCTTTCTGTTGGTTTTGAATCACAACGTTCATGCCACGACAAGTGCTATTGGGAATGCTCTCATAATTCAATAGTTCATCCAAAAGGTTTTTGAGCTTAGTAAAGTAAACATTTACAGGGTCCTGGTTCTGCATTAGTGTTGTGATATCCTTCTTTACCTTAAAAATTCGTGGAGCATTTTGTTGGGAAAAATGCTGCTCTAAGTCAAGCCAAAAAAGGTGAGCCATTTCAGCATAGATGGTGATGCTCTTGATATCTACTGCCATAGCATTTTGCATCGAAGTGATGACAATGTCATTACATCTTAGCCAATGTTCCATTAGTGGATCATTTGGATCCTCTGGCTCACATAGAGTGTCATCTATGAAGCCAAGTTTGTTCTTAATCCTTAGTGCCTTTCTCATCGAACGAGCTCAGGAGTAGTAGTTATTGGATTCCAAGACATGAATGACAAGCATGACAGAACTTCCATCATTACCTCCAATGTAATATGGACTGTTAGGATGTGTTGGATCGTGGGAAAGAATTCCCGGATTCCTTCCATCTATTTGTTGTTGATTTGGATTTCCGATTGTATGAGGATTCATATTAGTTTCACTCAATTTTCTCTGATACCATATTAGATTTTGAAGAATAAAAATTCAGAAGAAGAATTTGTGAAGAAGACTTAAACTTACATCTTCGTATTTCAATTGAATGAATTTATAGTGGATATAATACTCTATATGTAAAGCAAAAATGAATGAAAAATATTCTAACTAATCTACTGCTATAAAACAGAAAAGAATAAATGTTAACAGGCCTCACTAATCCCCTTCTAGATAGTTCTTCTGTTGGCGCCTCACTGGTGATCCTTGTTGGCTTTCCTCTTGTTGATTGTGTAGGAGCTGGAGCTGACTCACTTGCTTCATCTGATTCAATCATTCAAGCTTCAATAGTCAGAGACTGAATGCTTCCAGATCACTGATTAATGCTGATGGAGAAGATGACCTCGTGGATGAGGAAGCACCTGAGGAACTGGAAGATAGTTCAAATGAGCTAGTCGGCGATGAACTTCAGTTGGAAATGGAGTTTCAAAACTGCAAGGTTTGTGGAGCTGAGGTTAGAAATGATAAACATTATAGAATTTGTGGCCATTCCTTCTGTTCTCAAAAGTTTTTCCATGTGAGATGCTTGACTAGTAAGCAGTTGAAATCTTATGGTCTGTGCTGGTATTGCCCTTCTTGCCTATGTAGATCTTACCTCACGGATCGAGATGATGATAAGATTGTTCTATATGATGGCTGTGATCATGCGTATCACATCTATTGCATATATCCTCTTCGCACTTGCATCCCCAAAGGGAAGTGGTTTTGCAAAAAATGTAATGTTGATATCCAGCGTTTGCGCAGAGCAAAAGGAGTGTATGAGAATACACAAAGCAAATCTAAAAAGAGAGCATTGGATGGAATGCCAAAGGGCGAAGAGGGTTTGGATAAAGATGGTAGTGTTGACATGCTTTTAAATGTAGCCAAAACTCTGAACAACGAGGAAATTAGGCAGCCATGGGGTTGAATAGTTAAATAATGAAGCAGCTACTTTTTTTTGAAGACGAAGAGCCTAGCCTTGGGTTTTTGTTTGACATAGGAGTTCATGTACCTGTAGTTTTAGTGTAGACCAATGTATGTTGCTTAATCATACAGTTGACTGATATTTTTACAGATTAATAGACATAATTGACTTTGGTGGTGGGACTGATATTCGATTTTGCCTGACCAAAGAATTTTGGTGATAGCAGTTGCTGAATTGTTTTAGGTCTGTACTTTACATTAGATACTTTTCTTTTTTTTTTTTTTTTAATGGGAGGAAAGTGTAAACATGATTAATTTCAACTTGGAGAAACTTTTTTCTACTGATGCAATTATAAACGGTATGATTAGCAAAATCTTGTAAGTAATGCAAGCATTTAGAAAAACACATTCATTTTTTCAAATAATATAGCACATTAATTGCTCTTTTTGTTTCTCTAGGTAAATAACACTCTATGAGTGTCAACTCCGAACATACGTTATCACCAATAATGTCTGAATGTCTATTATATTTAAAATATTGTTCAAGATTCTCACAAGATTTCAAAAAACTGTCAACATGCATACTCTCTTAATTTCTCCAAATTAAACAAAAATCCAAATACTTACTTATATTCAAACTTGCTTCGAATTAATGCCTCTTTTTTTTTTCCTTTTTTTTTTTAGCTCCAAACGCTGACCATGTAAACCGCGGGATGAGCCCTAAACTGATAAGGGTCCAAGAGCTCATTCCACTGATCTGCCAAAGTGTCGAACGAGTCAACACATGTAGCACATTACCTTCCAAAAAAACTACTGCCTTCCAGGAGAAAGTCTGTCTTCCAAGAGTCCCACGAATCGAACTCATGACCTCTGAACTGTCAGTAACTAAGAGCCTTGTCATTTGTCAGTTGGGATGTGCCCAAGGGCATCAATTTGCTTTTTCATTTTACGTCGGAGGGTACGTACAGAATAACTATGGGATTAGTTGGGCATAGAAACCGCACGATGGACTCAAAATTCGAGATTGTAAATAATTATATTATAATAGTAAATAGTAAAAGTGATGCAAATTTGGAACCACTTAGTCTAGATGACTCACCCTGGCCACTTTTTAATATTATTCTATTTGGAATTGTGAGAAAATGGTGCCGAACTCGATGGTGTTTTGGAAACTCTTATGATCATAGCCAATGTTAATGGATAATGATTGTAGCATGCGTCAGACTGTTAGTTTTTCCTGTGCTCCAGACACGAAAGAAAACTAAACTCATTCTATTCCCTTCTTGTATGAGTTTAATATAATATTAATAGTAACAACATTTTCTTTTTCTTGTGATAGGTAAAACAAATTTAAAATTCCCCTGCTTTAGTTTAACCCATGTTATCGGACGTACAAAAATGCTGTGAATACAGATTTTTTCTACAGAATTTTCACCAGAAATTTGAATTTTACTCATATGGGAATGTGCCACGTGTGATTAAAAAATTGATTTTTCTACGCACCAACCCCCTATTGATTCTATCCTATATGGGCACAGGAATTTGAATTCCTATACCCATAGCAGGACTCATTGGACTTACATGTGGAGCCCACAGCTGCCCACTCGATTGGATTCCCTGGGATAACTTGTTCAAATTAACAACCGAAAATGATCAAATTATTCCTTCTGAAAGGACTACTG